CGGCTCACCGCAACCTCCGCCTCCTGGGTTCAGGCAATTCTCCTGCCTCAGCCTCCTGAGTAGCTGGGATTACAGGCACGCACCACCATGCCCAGCTAATTTTTTTTTTGTATTTTTGGTAGAGACGGGGTTTCACCATGTTGACCAGGATGGTCTCGATCTCTTGACCTTGTGATCCACCCGCCTCGGCCTCCCAAAGTGCTGGGATTACAGGCTTGAGCCACCGCGCCGGGCCTCAAATACCATTTTCTGATTAACAAATTAACCTATCAATAAATAACATCTGAATATCTTAGAGTATATGAAATATACTTACATTCTAATAATTTTGCTTCTTTGCTGCCACATGTAAGATATTATGGTGAATATTTGAGTCTTCTTTTACAAAAGATTATTCACATAGTAAGATGCATTGTACATGTGTCATGGAATAATGTTGGAAGCATATGTTAACTTTTGTTAAGCAACAGATCATGTTATATGAATTTCACTCACCTCAATTTTTAAAAAGAAAAAGTCGAACTAGTGGATATCTCTGTAGATGCTTTAATATTAAAAAGACAAATTCTGCCTGTAATCCCAGCACTCTGGGAGGCCGAGGGGGGCAGATCATGAGGTCAAGAGATCGAGACTATCCTGGCCAATATGATGAAACGCCGTCTCTACCAAAAAAATACAAAAATCAGCTGGGCGTGGTGGTGCGTGCCTATAGTCCCAGCTACTCGGGAGGCTGAGGCAGGAGAATTGCTTGAACCCAGGAGGTAGAGGCTGAAGTGAGCTGAGACTATGCCACTGCACTCCAGCCTGGCGCCTGGGAGCAACACTCTGAAAAAAAAAAAAAAAAAAAGATAAATTTTAATACTAATAAACATGATGAAGTGAACAGATCCTTAGAAAGTAACTTTTTACACAAACTTTTCCAGACAATAAAAAAAGACAGATGTCTCAACTTATTTACAGGACAAGTATGATCTTGACACCAACATCAAAGGCAAGACAAGAAAGACAAAAATAAGTGCACTGGCCAGGCGTGGTGGCTTACACCTGTAATCTTAGCACTTTGGGGGGCTGAAGTGGGAGGATCACTTGAGGTCCGGAGTTTGAAATCAGCCTGGCCAACATAGTGAAACCCCATCTCTACTAAAAATACAAAAAAAAATTAGCCAGGCATGGTGGTGGGTGCCTGTAATCTCAGCTACTCTGGAGGTTGTGGCAGGAGAATCACTTGAACCTGAAGAAGGAGGTTGCAGTGAGCCAAGGTCGAACTACTACACTCCAGTCTGGGTGACACAGTGAGACTCCATCTCAAAAAATAAAAAATTAAAATACATGCATCAATCTCATACATGAATATAGAAAAAAAAACAAGTATTAGCAAATCAAATTCAGCAATTTCATTTAAAAAAAGATCATGACCTAGTTGGGTTTATTCCAGATATGCAAATGTTTAACACTTGAAAATCAATTATGCTTTATCATATTAACAGGTAAGAAGAGAGAAATTGTGATCATTACAATAGACATAGAAAAAACATTTATAGAATCTAAAAATAATTCATTATTTTAAAAACAGGACGTTCAGTGAACTAAAGGAAGGAAGGAAACTTCCATAATCAGATAAGGGATAGCTACAAGAAAAACCTACAATAAACATCATTCTAAATGGTGAAGTAGTATAAGTTTTCCTTCTGAGACTGGGAGTGAGATGAGGCACTTTACTATTCACACTTCTACTGGACACTGTAGGCAACAGCCAGTACATTAAGTAAAAAGACATCAAAACTAAAAGGTTAGAAAAGGAATAAACAAAATGCATTTTTAACAGATGACTGACTGCATGCATAGAAAAATAAAATAATTTATGGATAAATTAACGGAATTTTTAAAAGCTAAGCAAAGTTGTTGGATACAAAATTATTAGAAAGTTCACTTATACTTCTATATCAATGCACAAATTCTTTTCTTTTTTTTTTTTTTTCTGAGATGGAGTCTGGCTCTGTCATCCAGGCTGGAGTGCCATGGCAGGATATCAGCCGACTGCAACCTCCGCCTCCCAGGTTCAAGTGATTCTCCTTCCTCAGCCTCCTGAGAGCTGGATTTACAGGCACGCTCCACAATGCCCAGCTAATTTTTGCATTTTTAGTAGAGACAGGATTTCACCATGTTGGTCAGGCTGGACTTTAACTCCTGACCTTGTGATCCACCCACCTCGGCCTCCCAAAGTGCTGGGATTACAAGGGTGAGCCACCGAGCTCGGCTGCATGAGCTATTTTCAAGTCTACATTTAAAGAACTATGAAAAAAAATTTAAGACTTCTATGTAAAAATTAGAAAGCTCTAAAGGACACTAAAGACTACCTAAAGAAATCAAGAGCCATACCCATTCATGGATTAGGACACCCAATAATGTAAAGATATAAATTATTGGGGGGTCTCTCTGAGCATACTTTGGCTTGGGAGGCTGCCAATTAAATTTTTTATAAAAAAAAAGCTTAAAAAAAAAAAAGACATTCTTTCTTTCCAAACTGAGTACTAAATTTAATGTAATTGCAAACAAAAATTCAACAGATTTATGAAACTTGACAATGTGAGTCTAATGTTTACACATAAAAATGCAAAGGACAAGAACAACCAATACAACCTTGAAAACAAGGTGGAGGAACTTGTTCTCATTGGTATCAGGACATAGACATAATGAGGTACGGACAGACAAATAGCAAGTGCTACAAAACGGCTCAGAAGCAAGCCCATACACGTATAGACTCTTGGCATACAATAGAGATGGCTCTAGAGATTGGTGGAAAAGATTAACCTTTCAATAAGTGGTGCTGGAACACTCCCTACTTCACCCTACTTCACACAAAAGCAACTGTAGGTTGATTAAACACCTAAATGTGAAAGGAAGGCTAGGCTATAAAGCTTTTAGAAGATATAACACAGAAGAAAATATTCATGACATGATAGAAAAAAAGCTTTCTTAAGACACAGAAATCACTGTCATAAAGGAAAAAAATGATAAATTTGATATTAAACTTTGGAACAATATAAAGAAAATTAAGCTGGGTGTGGTGGCTCATGCCTGTAATCCCAGCACTTTGGGAAGCCGAGGTGGGTGGATCATTCAGGAGTATGAGACCAGCTTCGGCAATATGATGAAACCCCATCTTTACCAAAAATACAAAATATTAGCCAGGCACGGTGGCACGCACCTGCATTCCCAGCTATTCAAGAGGCTGAGGTGGGAGGATGGCTTGAACCCAGGAGTTGGAGGTTACAGTGTGCTGAGATCAAATCACTGTACTCCAACCTGGGCAACACAGTGAGTTCCTGTCTCAGAAAAAAAGAGAGAGAGAACTGAAAGTGAAACTCAGAGAAGATACCTGCAATATTTAAAATTGGTTGCCGGGCGCGGTGGCTCAAGCCTGTAATCCCAGCACTTTGGGAGGC